TGGTTACTATATGATGAGTGGAATTACTAACAGTGGGAAATATAATTATTTAAAAAGAAAGCGCTCTAGATGTAACAATATGGCTAGACTCAAAGTATTTTGATTTATATAAACACCATCTAAAATGAAATATAGTCTAGGACTTATATCCATAAACTGATATTTTTGCCTGATTAAGGAAAGGACTATTTTAAGGGCGTAAAAAAATGGTCTGTGTGCCAGTGCATGGTCTAAAAGGGTTGTGCTTGCTTTCTTAATAAATTATGGGTGTCTTTTGGGCACAACATGCATTAATCCAAGTCTCATCTCTCATTCCTTTTAAGAGTCAGTTGCATTGTACCTTGGTGCATCCACTATTTACATAGCTGCCTTTCTGAATGAAAATCTGAATGCTTTACTAGCAAAAAAAAGAACAAGTACAATTAAAGCTGCAAGCAGAAATTAAAGTGACCTCGCACCCGGGCTTAGCGCTGCACAGTGGCCTTAGGAAGACAGAAAACAGAGGACAATAATAGTTTAAGCTAATAAATAAAATAAAAACTGAGAAAATCACAAATTTATCCCAAACTTCTTCCTGTCAGCATGCGGCGCAATAACTTTGACTTAATATTGGCATATAGATGTCTTCAGGTGAGGAATTTTAGTTTCAGGCAAATCAGACATTGTGTTGTTGAGTTATTATAAGTACTTTCTCTTTCATAGCAAAACACTGAGGTTTATCAGGCTGCCACGTACACGCCCTTTAGCGAAAACTCTACATCTTCATAATATATCAACGCTAGAGTTTTCAGATAGCACCACCCAAATTTGTAGCTGATACGATATAATTTGTGGGAGGGGTATGTTACAGTGTAAAACATGTCATTTCCTGTTGCCAGCAGGTGGCCCTATAACTGTAATTGGATATTGGCATGTAAAGGTGTTTAGGTAAGGACTCTTATCAAATGTGTGGATTTTGAGGCAGATCAGACAATGCATGCCTGAGTTATAACAACTTCCTGTTTCGTCCCGAAACACAAAGTTTGTGAGGCTGCCACAGACACGCCCTTCGACGAAACCGTATCTTCGTAGTTTAACATCACCAAGGCCAGCAGTAACTAAATTGTAAATAAAAAAGCAGTTTCCTCTCTCTTTGGGCACACAAATCCAAGTCTTGCAACTCTGGGATACTCCACCTTTCAGCTTGCAAGAGGACGGTTTCCTTCCTCCCACTTTTCCAGCCTCATCGCAGGATCCAGGTAGGAAGATAAGAGACAATCTCTTATTTTCAGCTCTTCCCCGAGATGCTCCGCTTTCCAGGGTGAGCAATTCCCTCCCAAGCTGCCCCTCCGCTGGCACGTCAGCGATCATTCTGATGACACCATTGAGGGTATGGTTTGCATCTATGGAACTGAAGGACACATGCTTTCATGTCTCCATCCCTCTACATCCTTTTCTCTGGTTTGTATTCGAAGGTCGAGCATGGCAGTACAAAGTCCTTTCCTTTGGGCTTTCCTTATCTCCGTGGGTTTTAACCAAGCTCGCGGAGGGTGCTCTAGCACCTCCTTGGCTCATGGGCATACGCATACTTAATTATCTCGACGACTGGCTTATACTGGCTTCATCCCCTGATCAATTGATTACGCACAGGGAGATGGTGCGCCGCCTCCTCGACTATTTGGGGCTTTGGGTCAACTGAGAGAGGAGCAAGCTCTCCCCTGTGCAGAGCGTCTCCTATCTTGCGATAAATTTGGACTCAATCTCTACGACGGCGCGCCTTACAGAAGAGCCTACCCAGTGAGCCAACTTGCATAGACCCTGTGCAGGTTGAGGAAGATGAGGAGAAGGTCTTGTTAGTTGCGCCTCTGTGGCCCAACTGGACCTGGGATTCCAAACTTACACTCCTCGCGACGGCCCCTCCCTGTCGTATTCCCCTGAGAAAAGACCTCTTGTCAGAGGGGCATACACCAGGGAGGGGCCGTCGCGAGGAGTGTGAATTCGGAAACCCAGGTACTGTTGGGCCAAAGAGGCGAGCCCTTCTTTCTCAGGGAAAAGACACCCATGCCCAGATCTCTGGAACCTACATCTGAACCTGCTCTTCAGATATCTGGACTCCTTTTGATCTGCTGAAATATAGATATGTATACCATACAAAAACATTAAAAATAACAGTCAAATATACCTTATTTTGTTTAAATACTTGTTTCAGAGGCGTAGCCATCCAAACATTAGTGTAAATGAGGTTGCTTTGTGAAGCGTTCAGCATTTCTCAGACTTTAGATACAAGCGGAACAATGCTGCTTACAACATCAAATGTAGAGTCACAAGCTACAGAGACCTGTTGCATGAAGCAAGTTTCTAAAACTCACGAGTTTGTTCAGCTAGCATCATACAACAAGACCTGTGTGTCGTGTCATGTCATGATGCATCTGTTCTATTGTGGTGTTCATGCTATCATGTGTCTTATTTTGTAAACTAATATAGCTATGGGTCCTGTTTGGTAATCTTTGATATCCTCTGTTGCACTAATACATGTGTTGTATTATTTATGCTTGAGATTAGGTTTATGTGTTCCCTTTTCTCAGTTTTACTTCCTGTCTACCAGTTGATCAAAGGCATGTTGAATGTTGCTCACTGAACAAATTCTGAGTTTCAAAATGGGTTTAGAGTTCAGATAAACAAAAAAAAAATAGAGCTCATTCAACTTCAGATCAAGTTTTGCAGAAATCACAACACTCAAAATGAATGTTTGAGAGAATTAGATTAATTCACGTCAGGCAAGAGAACTGGTGCAATTCGCTTCTCTGTTTAGCATTTCTTAAGCAAAACTTAGAGAAGGCAGATAAAATAATGTTAAACTCATTCAAAAAAATAAATCAACTGGATCTAATCATTTTAGAGGTCCACAAAAGAAAAGCATAAGCTTTGTACTTTATGCTTTCATGGGTTAATTATTAAATCAATTTAAATGTAAATTCTCATTTTAATTAACAATCCATAGCAGCCAAATAAGTGGCATGAATTGTAAATAATTATAATTTGAATAACAAAGACATATCAGCAAAGGATGGGCAATGTTGTTGCTATATCTTTGACAGGAAAAATGGTTTAATTGCATCAATGTATGTCACTTTGCTTATGACTTCAATCTATAAACCTGAATAACATTTGCTCTGGAGCAGGTTAGCCATGTAACCCAAGTTGCCATGAGTGATGAACACAAGTAGATAAATTTGCTTTGAATTTTCTCAAACTTTTCTCAAACCTGGGTAGAAACGGACACCTGTTTCATTTTCTAGACTGTTGCTTTTTTTTTGCTGTTGTCCATCAGTTTCTTGTATATTTAACCATTTGTTACAAACGGTAACCTAATCCCAAACCTTCATCCACTGATAGAGCTAACCATTTAATCTAAATCTTAACCGTATCTAACCTCTACAGCAGCAAAAGTGATTTGCAATTAAACCACTATAAAGATGTAAAAACAAATTGTGTACCTATTGTCTTCATGCGGACAGCAGATAAATCAGATGTAACCCTAGATACCAGATAGAGTCACAAAAGAATTTGCTTGGTATCCAAACAAAATCTAGAGGAAACTCAGAGAAGAACTTGTTAAAAGTGTTAGTTCAACAATAAACCTTGTCAGGAACCTTGCTGTCTATGGAGGATAAGTGAGCTTATTTCAATTAAAGTATCTTAAAATATTTTCAATTAAAATATATTTATATATCTTGTAATCTAAAGATAAATAAATGTCCCTCAGGGGGTTTTGGAATGACATGAGGATGAGTAATTAACAACACAATTTTCATGTTAAGTTAAAGGTTTTCTGTGGAACCACAGATTAAAAAAAAAGTTTGATAGATTTTTTAATAATAAATATTCTTGCACCTGCAAGTTATGGACACACAAACACACACCAAACATATGCGCAGCAGGCACTGAAATCAGCATACAGTAGTCTAATGCAGTGGAGCTATCCACCACATTCTGAATTTATTTTACACACTTTGTTATAAATGAGTGACAGCATTCTGGATTTGGGCTTTCACTTGTACTGTAAAAATTTGGGATGGAAATTTCAGATTCATTGTACTATGACCTTAACACTTGTTATCTGTTTTCTTTTACTTATAGGCACGCCATCACCACTGGCTCAGTGTGTGAAGTATATGGTATGTGGAATATATATATATGCTTGCTAATAAATGAATCAGAATGTTGCATATTCATTTTGATCTGCTAATCTTCATGTTGTAGTTATCATAACACGAATATTTGACAATCTATACATGTTGTTTTACTTTTGTGTGCATATTTGAACATGTCTGTGCCTGTCTGTCTGTTCACACCAGAGAAGTTGTGTGGTACTGTTGTTATTAAGCAGACTTTGTTTTCTTGGAGGCTCTTCTCTGCTCATGATCATCAAACCAGTTTCAAAGATGGTAAGTGTGTCCAACAACACACTATGCGCAATGACTATTTCTAAACTATTGTATTTTCATTATAAGTAATAATCAGCAACCTTTAGGTGGTCACAAACCTTTATGAGGTTATTTTTTTCTGTTAAACACAAAAGGAGATTTTTTGAAAAATGTTAGAAACTGGTAACTATTGACCTCCATAGCAGGAAAACAAACACTATGGAAGTTAATTGTCACCAGTTTTCAGACGTCTTTTGTGTTCAGCAGAAAAAAATAAACTCAAACTGGTTTGTGACAAGTGAAGAGTGAGTAAATGATGACAGAATGTTCAGTTTAGGGTAAACTATGCCTTCATAATTAATTGAATTCATAATGTAAATAACAAATATATACATTGTGTGTCTCCTCGCAGCCCACCCAGATTGCATCTATCATTGAAGTAGCATTAAAATTTGTTGCTACTGTCCTTGTACTAATAAAAGCAGTTCATGTAAGGATTTTTTTCAGTTTACTATCTTTCTTCAAAATGAATATGTGGTTGAGTGGAAAGCAGAAGCAAAGGAGGAAATTGAAATCTAATTTGATCCTCTTTGTTGTGTCTGTAAATGTTTGTGACAGCATGAATGTAAGGATGCTGGTTTGCAGACTGAGTTTGCTGCTTTGATAGTGACTGCAATGGTTACAGGCCTGATGCACACCATCATAGTTTTCTTTTACCGCGGACCAAGTGATGAATTGTGAGTGTTAACTTTACATATCAGCACTAATATAATGTGAACATACCATAATGACAACTGTTTCCAAACAGGTTTTTTTCTGCTTTTTTCACCAGACTGAAGTTTACTCATCATTGATTAAAGCAAATTTGTAATGCATTTTTACTGTTCTGGCTCTGTGACTAATAGGGCCAGAATTACAAAACAGGACAAATCAACATGAGACCAAAATCCTATAAAATTGCAGATGAGATTGTTCTGCAAGTGAACTAAAGACAAGTTTAAATGGAAGAACGACTTTTTCAGTTAATGCCTTTAGCAAATCCTGACAGTAGCTTTTTTAACATTAAGTGTGGTTTATTCATAAACTAATTTCGAGATTATCACGTGCTTATGATCAACACGGCTGGCTCCTTATTAGCTCTGTAATCTGCCCTTTTAGATGATTACAGAAGCATTATAAATAATCTGAGTTTTTCACTCCAGTTATCTTCGCCTTGAAGCTCCCCCCCCTTTCCACCCCTACATCCTCCCCCTTTTTCTGATAGGGCGACACGGTGGCCCAGTGTCTAGCACTGTTGCCTCACCACAAGAATACCGCTGGTCCAACCTATCGGGCCGGTTGGTGTTTCTGTGCGGAGTTTACATGTTCTCCCCGTGTTCGCGTGGGTTTCCCCCAGGTTCCCTGGTTTCCTCCCACCGTCCAAAAACATAAACCATAGCCAATCCAGTAAAACAAATTATCACCCAATGCAACCTTAGTTTACATTTCTCACTGCGACAAGCAGGGGAGTTCTCGAGACCTAGCTGAGCTCAAACTCCCCGCTCGCCCTTATAACAGGAGGGAGCCCCAGGCTCGACGATATTACGAGCTGAAGGCTCTCTCCCGGGACAGCATGCCAAATACGTTTTGATTATCAGCTAAGTATGAACTCTTTTGTCGACAAGTTGTTAGTAAATCTGACCCATAGTCTCATTCATACAGTAATCTCAAGCATTTAGTAAGAACAAGAGAATTTCTAAATATAGGGACTGTAGTATCCGTACATCGATACTCATGAGACATTTGTTTGGTATAGACATTTAAAAATATATATTGATATTAAAATTATATTAATACAAAAGGTGTTTCTAAATCTTGATGTTCTAAACAATAGGTAAATAATCTCTAAAATACCATTTTCAAGAGTTCACACTTAGCTGATAAGCAAGTTTGGCATGCTGTCCCGGGAGAGAGCCCTGAGCTCGAAGGTTCTTGAGCCCTGGGCTCCCTCCGGTTTGGAGGAAGAGAGGGGAGCCTTGAGCTCAGGTAGATCGGCCTGTTAAAGGACTAGAACCGGTGACGTTCTTGCTGTGAGGCGACAGTGCTAGTCACTGGGCCACCGTGCTGCCCTATGGAGGAAGAGGTGAAAAGGTAGGGGTGGAAGGGGGGATTCTTCAAATCGAAGATGACTGTAGTGAAAAAACCCTGGCTCTTTATAGTGGGTTAGGAATGGCCTGATTGGTGGATCATGCATGCTAATGTAGAACCAGCCATGTTCAATCATAATCACGTGCTCCTCTCGAAATTAGCTTATGAATAAACTTCACTTAGAATAGTCCTTTAAATAAGATTATAGGGTTTTTTTCTAAAAATGAACATTATTATGTAAAAACACACAAGAATGGCATTACATATGCATTTAAGAAATTGTTAAGAAATTAATGTCCTTTGAAGTAAAGGTTCAGACTCTGTTAAGATCTGTTTTGAATAGACAAAAACACATCTTGACACATAATACCATACCATAGTTTCTCTACAGTCTATGGTTTGAAAGAATTTAAACTCTTGCATATAAAAACAGCAGTATTTTGAATTTAATGTTTAAACATCTTTATCTTACAGAAGAAAGTGTTGGATTGGTTCTCTCATAATAGTTGACCTACTAAATACAATCATTACATGTAAGTTTTTTCCACATAATCACCCGTTCATTTGTTTGTTATTTCATGACAAATGTTAATTAAGTGACCTAATTTTCTAAAATTGACATAGGTGTAAAACCTCTTCAAAGCTCAGGTTAAACTAATTATGTTTTTTTAATCTTCTTTTTTCTAACTGTAGCCGTCTCAATATTTTATGGGTTATGGTGGTTTCAAGAGCGCTGGATGCCAATCTTAATGGGAGTTTATGTTTTTTTGGAGTTCATCCTTTACCTGGGAGCAGTTTGCTTTCAGCAGATGGAAAAACGCAAGGCAGAAAGAAGTAAGTATACTTATATACTTCAACTTGCTTAAGGCATGTATGAAATTCAGACGCAAACAAAGACTTTTTAGATTGTCATTCTGTTGTCTGTCTGTTTTGAAAAAAATATTAGATTGACTCATTCTACTGTATTTGTATTTTACAGAAAATACTACTGCTCTGAAACACAGGGTATGTGAACTTTACATCTGTCTCACTTATTTTTATACATATAGTCATTCCAGTTTCAGCCAATCTGCTTAAAGGGATAGTCCCCCCCCAAAAATGGTGTTCATTTACTCTCCCTCAAGCTGTGCTATTTTTTCCTTCAGTAGAACATCAGTTAATATTTTTAGCAGAATCCACTTATAAAAGATAATGCCTCAATTCCACTGAGTGGGACGGTTCAGTACAGATACACAGTTTGGTATGGGTCACCCTAATCTGGCATGCATTACTTTCCACGACCAACAGTACTATTATTTGGTAGGCGTGATCACGGTGTACAACAGAAAGTAGAGATTGACGTCATTCTTTCTTTAAAAAACATAAACATGTGGGCTGTTCACAAATCTATGGCGCACTTCTTCATTCATTCCTTTTTCTTAGTCCCTTTTTATCAGGGGTGGCCACCGCGGAATGAACCGCCAACTATTCTGGCTTAGTTTTACGCAGCAGATGCCCTTCCAGCCCAGTACCCAATTCACCTGTAGCGCATGTCTTTAGACTGTGGGGGAAATCTGAACACCCTGGAGGAACCCCACGCGAACACGGGGAGAGCATGCAAACTCCAAACAGAAATACCAACTGGCCCAGCCAAAACTCAAACCGGTAACCTTCTTGCTGTGAGGCAACAGTGCCAACCACTAAACTCATGCAAATAAAAAAGAGGATGTGGCACACCTCATGCTTTCCACATGTTTAGCATGACATGTAAAAGTTGCCACAAACAGCAACAGCAGATTCTGTTCTTGCTTCTAGGCATGTGGCTTTTTATCACAAGATGCCAAGCTTGCTTCAAGCTTTGTTTGATGATTGTTCTACTATAGTGTCATGTCTTGGTTGTGTATTTAAATATGGCTCTTACAGTGTTGTTGTTCCTCTGGCTTTTTACACGCATAAGAGACGGTTTTCTGTAAACCAATAGCGCTCAGCAGCGAGTTTTTTGGTGCTGACTGTTGTGCTGGGTACACTCACGAGTACTATTTTAGTGCTTCTGACAATCCAAATAGACACAATGGAAATTGGACACAAAGTGTACTGTACTGTACTGAACCTTACCGCTCAGTAAAAATGAGTCATAAGTAGGCCCACACAGAATCTGCGCGCACAGAATTCCGCAGATTTCTGCAGTTTTTTATCCCATTATAAATTCTGTTTATTTACTTGAGTAAATGTGTAAGTGTAAGTTATGATACTCCGCTGGATACTCCCAAAATAATTCCACAGAAATCTGCAGATTTTTACCAAAATTCTCTGCAAAAATAGCAAAAAACGTCCGCAGATTCCGTCTGGCCCATAAGTGAATTGACAATAAATTGAGGCAATAAAATGTATAAAAACAAATACAGGCAAAACAGAATTAATACAATGACTGCTGGCGATATGTTTGAAAGCATTTTTGTTCTGTGCTAAAAAACTAAAGTATTCACACTTCAGAATGTTGAGATAAATGCTTTAAATGCTACACCTTATATCATTCTTCTTTTTTATCCGCAGAAAATCACATGGAGGTTCATGTTTGTCATTTGCTTAGTGTTTTATGTAATGATTACAGTTGCACTTATTGCCGGAGTGTCTTCACATGTAATGTAAAACTGTCGAAAGAACTTCTGCAAGATTCTTTGGTTGGCGGATGTTTGCAGAACAGTTTCAAGATTTTAGTGTGTTTCTACCAGGGTTCCCACGGGTGATGGGATTTGTGGAATGTCATGGAATATGAGGCATATTCCAGACATTATCAGTAAGGGAATTTTATATATGAGCAATTCCAGCGTTATGGATGTGACATTTGCAGTAAAAACTCAACACATAAATTGACAGAGAAAGTATATGTTAACATTATATTGAAAAATTTAATTATATTTTCTAAAGCAACTAGCCACAGAGTTATGGGAGCAGAAAAATATCAATCTGTAAACGTGTTTTGTACTTTAAATGAGGAAAATAAGCATGCGTTATGAATGTGACAAAAAAAGTCTGCGAGTTTACAGTATACAACACACTTTGTAGAAATTATGTGAATCAAAAGGATTAGAGTCGGCTCTCTATAAAACAAAATTGCTTGCTTTTATTTTATTTAATATTTTCACATTTCTGAGGAAAAAGTGTCGTTATGGATGTGACATCTCTCTGTTATGGATGTGACGCATGTGAAATTACCATTTGTGTGACTTTGGTAAATCAAATAGAATAGTTTGAAAACATTGACAGATGCATTTTTGAGTATTTTTAAAGTACTGTAAAATACTTGCTTACACAAAAAACCCAGAAATGGTTTCCGTATTTTGGTAAAAACGAAAAAAAATTTCATGGCAAGGTTGACATTTGCACGGAATTGCTCATATATTTTTGTCATGGAGTATCAGGGATATTTGCTTGCATTTGAAATCTTACCTTTTATCAAACTGTTCTATCACATAGTTTTACTTGTTTTGACTACTGTTATGGGTAGGCTATTTTTTTATATCTTTTCCAAATTGTCGACTGGCATTCCAATGCCGTCATAAGGGTGTACCTGTTAAAACACTGTCTGTGGCTTTTTATGTCTGCTCAGTGCTCAACCAGTCCTGACTAGATTTTGCATGATTAGATTAGATTTAGATTAGCGCTTCCTAAAATTATTTTGTATTATTGTATTATTTCTTGTGTTGTTTAACTGTTAAAACTATACAAATTTCGTATTAAATACTTAGTTTTTCACTACTTTGTTTACCTCAAGAACCACTGTTCTCTTTATTTATAAAAAGCATACACTAAGAGATGCAAAAAGAGAAAATGTTTACCTCTTAACTATATAGAATGAAAATAAACAGTGCTTTAAAGTATCTTCAACAAGAGAATATTATTGTTTCAAATTTTAGCAAATGATTCAATGAACATAGACTTGGTCAAATAGGCTTGAGCTAAATGTGGATTGCAATAATGTCACACAATAATGTCAGGAAAAAGTGCAGCGCTGCACAATGCATTTGACAATGTAAGAATGATGTTATATAGAATAAAACAATCCAGATGGTGCGAAAGGATTTTAAACAGCGTCCTGGCTGCTTAAAAATGGCAATCAAATTGCGATCTCCTCTATATTTTGCACTATTTGCTTGATTTCATGTTATATTCAGTGATCGTGGAATCACACAATTCTGGAGGTACTGCCCAACACAACAGCCACCAATTTTTATTATAGGTCATGGAAATAAAGCTTTTTAGGGAATTTGACATGTGGCTTAGAGTTGGAACCCTGTACTACATTAGTGTGTATGTAACTTTATAAGGCTCTGCCTAGCCTTTGCACATGATCCAGTTTAATGCCCAATATAGTTTTGTTTACAATTATCTGTTAAATCATACATAGATGTTTATGTTATTATCATTTTTGCGACCTGACTAAAGGAGTACTTTGATAAACCTTTTTAAAGATTTTTAAAATACATCCTGAAATAAAAAAACCTAATGAAAAGTGATGATGTTTTTGAATGTTGCTGTCGAAAAAAAGGTCATGTAATGTTTTGAGTTCTATTGGCTTTAAAGTGTCAACACGTCTGCAGCTCTCGAATAAAGTGCAGACATTTAAATACAAAACAATGTGTTAAATAAAGATATGCCAATAAAAATTACATTTGGTTTCTGAGAGTCTTGCAGTGCTTTTTCACTAAAATATAAAACTAAAACAATGATGAACTAATACAACACAAAATAAACAAAGGATATTTTGCATGACACTTCCTCGTGTGTCAATCAGTCCATCAACAGAACACTGATATTTCATGCTGGAATAAACAATTCTAACTTCCTGGTGTGTCCATCAACTGTTCACTTCTCCGCCCACTTTTCCCAGCCCTTTGCTGTGCAATTCATGCTTAGCAAAATAGAGCGCAAAGCTAAGTTGATTTGGTTATTCACACATTTAAAACTAATTTAAACTTTTCAAACAAAATAACTATAATTTCCACTCAAATGACCATATTCATACTACACAGATCTACAGCAAGCACACACATCTGCTTTTATCCCTAAACTAGCTCTTTAAAATGAGTGTGCCAGAAGCAATTTTCTCATTAATTACAAAAAGAAAGACTTCATTCAAGAGTTATGAGCCAACCCAACCAGATTTGCGGTAAGTCACAGGATTGAAAGCTGATTTGAATATACAAGTATATGAAAATCTGACAAAACACAATCATACAAGACTGTACTTTACAGCTTTAATAAGACAGTATCATGAAAACTGATTGCAACACAATTGAGTTAAAAATAACAAATATTATGAGAAATTGTTCATGTGTTTTCTTATAATTTCACAACTGGTAACACTTTATTTTGTTGGTCCATTTGAGTATTAGTAGACTGTCTGCTTAATATCTGTTGATACTGCTCCTGCAACAGACATTTAACTGACTATAAGAAACTTTGCTAGTACATGTCAGCCTTAGAAGTAACCCTATCCCTAATCAGTCTACTTATAATCTAATGAGAATTAGTTGGCATGTCGATGCAATGTAACCTAAATTTAACAAACAGACCATCAAAATAAAGTGTGACATCACATATTTAACAATATTAAATCAAATTAATTCTAAATTTCTTATGTTTGTGTTGTTTATTTTTGTTATTGCATTATGGGATGTATGAGAACAATTTTTTTTTACACCTTATGGAAGCCTCTCAAACTCAAATAAAATCATGTTATACTTTTTTGGTATTTTAAATATTTCTTAGTATTTTATAGCAAATAAGGGGACCCAAAACAATGAAGAAAGGCCTCATTTATAGGTCCTTTAGGTCTGGAGCTATCAGGAACAGATTGTTTTTTTCCCCCTTTTTAATATTGTATTTATTTAGAAAATTTGACTACGTAAATGTTTCATTTGCACAAAGTACACACAAAACACAACAATCAAGCACTTTACACTATCTGCCTCTGAATCCTATTCCTGGACCACACTTATTACTTACCCGCAGGATTTCATAACATTTCCATGGAACAGAAACTGAAAGGCCTGTATTTACAGGGCCCTACCCATTTTTTTCCAGTATATGGGCCTTACCCAATCTCTGTGTGAGTAGACTTATGTTTGATTTGTTTTTAACTATTAAATGTTTGTTAAAACCTTTTGTAAAAGTTTTGTTTTGACGTGCAGCACATGAAGTCGTTCAGGTCGTCAATAAGCGCTGTAAGCTGTAGAGCCAAAGTCTCTGTAATATAACGTTAGCTTACTGTTCACTAAAACTGAAATTCCAATGCGTAACACAATAAACTCCCCACAATTTATTTCCCGTGGAAACATTATTAGGATTCCCACGATTAAACATAGATGCTTAAAGCCATATAAAACTATCGTTTACATCATATTTAAGATAATGATAACATATTGTTAAACCTTTTTCTTTAAAAAAAAAAAAAGTTCAACAAATGCTCATTAAACAAACCACGCCTCTATACATTGATCAGACAAATTCATTACTCAATAAACTACAAACTTTTTGAGGGGATAAATTATAACTTGTACCTGTTTGTTTACGCTTTTCCCAAAACTGGACCAGCGGTTGATGGTGTACTCGCGGGCGCCATCTTGCGGCAAGAGGCGGGAATTCATTCGCCATGAACCGCACGGTGCATTCTGGATATTGGTTATTTCTCTTCTTAACAAATACAATTAAAACTTATATCTACCACGTTAGAAATTTTTACGAAAATGTAAGAATAATTTATTTTGGGCCCCGGTTTACTCTCTGGAGCACTTTATTTAAAATGTGATCTAGCTTTTTTTGGCTGTAGGAATAACATTCTCTGTAGGTTTTATATTCGTTGCTATTTGCAATAACAAATGTAAGTAGCACACTAAAAGCATGACAAAAAAGAAAAACTCATAACAACAAATTGATTTTTAATTAGAATTTGAGTCACACAAATACAAAAAACTGAAGCCAAGCTAAAAAAATAAATCAGTGCAAACTTCAGTCTTTATGACTCCTGACCTTTAAGAAATTGTACAACTAATTCAAAATCTGTTTTATATTGTATGCCAAATGCTGTTGCATTATTATTATTATTATTATTATAATTATTATTAAATGATTACATATATCACTCACACACACATATAAACAAAGAAAAACGATTTATATAAAACATTTATAAACAAATACATTTTTAAAAAAACCTCTTTGGAATAAAGTTCCTTCTGTACATTTATATGGTCCGCACATCCATTAACTACAGTATTAGAACCGCACCATTTTCAAAAAAAGGCTAGACCTCACAGCCCTCCTGTTGAATGTTCCCCTCTGCAGCCACCGGCAGGACGAGGTGAGAAATCCTGCTCCACAGTCCACTCAGTTTATCCAAATCCATTTGATTAAACTTAGTAGATTTTTCTGAGGTAATAAACTTCTGTTTCAAATGGTCGAGCACCATTTCCTCCACTTGGCTCAAACTGACCGACGGGTCTATTTCATCCACCGAAAGCTTCACAGTGAACACCAGGAAAACGTTTTTGTAAGCTGCAGTCTCATGGTCACAATACCGATAGAATATGAGAGTAGATCCAGGCGGGAGCTCCTCAAAATTGTGCACAACAGCAGCGGGTTTATCTCCTTCAAAGGCTTTTTTCAGTGCTTCATCAATCTCCAGCTTGACCTGATCACTGTCCAGAGCGCTTTTGGAGTTCCCGTTGATTTCTAAGATCGAAGCGTTATGGAAAGCAGAGAACATTGTGGCCAAGCGTCGAGCAAGACAACCTAATGTCCTTTCAGCGCGAAGGCCAGCAGTCAGAATCACACTGACCGGTTCAGTGGGTTTGACCGTCTGCAGGTGACTCTTCAGATGTTTCCCACTCCTCTTCCAGAACTCAGAACGCTGACTGGGAAAAACAGTCTGTAGACCTGCTAAGTCCACTGCAAAATTCTTCAGTGTTTCAGAATGAACCACATCAGTTTGAGGCAAATGGGCACTAATAAACTTATGATAGATCAAATAGCCGGAAACCAGCAGTCCAGTCAATATCAAAACAAGTATGAGAACTCTGCAAATAGACCACATCCATCCTAGAAAAACAAGACATTCTGAATTAACGACACGCAGTGCATGCCAAATAAATCTGTTTGTTAAAAGGGTCATGAAATGCAGTTTGGACAATTTTAATTTAGTTTTGGAAAGTTCATTCAGGTGAGACATGATGGCTCAGTGGTTAGCACTGTCTCCTCACAGCAAGAAGGTCACTGGTTCGAGTCTCGGATGAATCAGTCGGCATTTCTGTGTGGAGTTTGCATGTTTTCCCTGTGTTCGTGTGGGTTTCCTCTGGGTTACCCCCACAAAGACATGCAGTATAGGTGAATTGAATAAACAAAATTGGACATAGTGTGTGTAAATGAGTGTGTACGGATGTTTGTTTTTTCATCTACATTTAAATGTCTAATAAACACAAACTTGTTTACTGGGCTACTGTGCTTGGCTAACACCGTTCAGAACATGCATGTTGTGTTTTGACAATCAAGATATGAAACATTAAGCCAGAGGAAAAAAAAAAACAAAAAAGCTCAAGCACAAAATAAAGCATCTGTGTCTGCTAGGATCATTTTCATTCTGTAGTTTTAAAAGTACTAAATTACATTGCGCATTAAAAAACATGTTGCAGATGCTCATGTAGATATTCAATAAAAAGAATTAATTTATTTTAAACAATTTATGTGTTGCATTATGAACTCCAACATAATTTCTGCTCTGCATAAACATGATTTTACTTTAAAAAAAACTCAAACAATTATATGATATGTCTTAAAAGTGCTAACTGATGGTTTTATGTTTAATACAAGCATGTTGTAGGATTAAAAATAAATGTAGTTATCTCAAAGAAGTTTGGCAATGATTTATATTTCAATAAAATAAATAAAACATCAGCATGTTGAGAATAATTCAGCAAAAATTTGGTGGTGAAATGATAGATAGATAGATAGATAGATAGATAGATAGATAGATAGATAGATAGATAGATAGATAGATAGATAGATAGATAGATAGATAGATAAGTATAAAAACACTGTCACTGTCAGTTTTGAGATTAAAGTTTAAACAATGTTTTTTCTTGCATTTTAAATATCAAGAAGATTTAGATTTTCCATTTCATGAACTCTGTAAATTATAAAGAATGTATAGAAGACTCAAAGAGTACCTCGAGTGGGAGACACTGGACTTGGTTTTGAGAAGACTGGCTTCTTTTCTGAAACACAAAGTAAAATATTGTGAGCTACAAATTCTAAAATAATGCACATTTTTCTTAATTTACTCTAAACGTTCCAAGTTAGAATTTTTAAGCAACATTTTTTAAATGAAATTATATAAATCATGAGAAAAGTGAGAGACAAATCTAAATATTTCACCTGTGGTTTTGTGATGTGCTGTTTGATTTGTGGTGGAAGGAATAAGCAATTGAGATCTGTTCCAATTCCCAAAATGATGAGCATCTTTAATAAATGGATTAAAAAAGGACTTTAGAAACTCCCATAGCTCAAACAGTAAAGAAAAACTAATTCTACTGATTTTTATTCTACAGCAAGAATCTTTTACCATTGATCACTACAGGATTCTGATTAGTCACTCGACTCCTGGTTACCCTGGTAACTGAAGGAGCTGCAATGAAAAGTCAACATGAATTTGTGTTTTGCATTATTAAAAAAATTAAAGGTATTTTTTTGTAATGATAACAAACCTTGAGAAGTCGTTTCTGATCTTAAGTTCACTGTTTTGGGTCTCCTGTGCGTCTCTTGGTCTGTTTTTTCACGAATGGACCTTTGTCTAACTGCTGGAAACCTTTCTTCTCTCCCAGACAGGGCTGAGGAAGTCACAAAAGAACTTTAATAATGGCTGTTTAACATTATTTGAGACAGAATTCAGCTTCTTAACAAACCTTGAGATGTTGTAATGGATCTGTTTGGAATGTTGTGTTTGTGTATATCATGGTCCAGACAATTTTCATTAATGGACCTTCGCCTCTCTAGTACAACCCCACTTTCCCGATTTTCTCTCCATACTTGTGCAGGACGTGCTGCTTCTTTCCTAGATGTGGCTGAGAAACCAACAGAACAGCTCAGCTAAATTACCTATTAATTTTTATTTAATACTATGACATTAATCGTATGCTTCTTACCATGAATGTGCGTCTTGGTCTCGTTGTCCTGCTCAGCATCTTCATCCTCATCCATTTCTTCATCTTGATTGTCACTCTCATCCATCTCCACATCAGTGTGGTTAAGTCCATCACCTTTCTCATTTTCATCTCCTGCACTTTCATCCTCTTCAATCTTTTGTTTCTTATTTGGGGATTCTGTGTTGGTTTAAAAAAAAAACAAAAAGTACAAACTCATCTTAAAATCACTGTGTAACACAAAATTTCTTTAAATTGAATTCATATACCTCCATCATTCTCATTCTTGAGGTTGTGGGACTCCTTGGATCCATTGACCACCGTGGATTCCCCATCATCTTTCAAAGCGTTCCGGCCTCTTTTTAGCCGGGGCCGAATGTCAGCAACATATGAACCTATGAGAGAAGATGAACTGAATAATTAATGCCAAAAAAGCCAACAGGAACAAATATTTGTGCTTTAGCATCAGCAGAAACAGGCACAATATATTAAAACAATCTACATTAAACGGCGGCGTGGTGGCGCAGTGGGTAGCACTGTCGCCTAGCAAGAAAGTCCCTGGTTCGAGCACCGGCTGGGTCAGTTGGCATTTCTGTGTGGAGTCTGCATGTTCTCCCCGTATTCGCGTGGGTTTCCTCTGGGTGTTCCCGTTTTCCCCACAAGTCAAAGACATGCACTATAGGTGAATTGGGTAAGCTGTCTATAGTATGTGTGTGTGTGTGTGTGTGTGTGTGTGTGTATGGGTGTTTCCCCGTAATGGGTTGCAACTGGAAGGGCATCCGCTGTGTGAAACATATGCTGGATAAGTTGGCGGTTCATTCCACTGTGCCGACCCCAGATTAATAAAGGGACCAAGTCGAAAAGAAAGTGAACAAATGAACCTACATTAAGTACACAGAAACATTAATAACTCACTGTCCATTTTAAACTTTAATAATGCTTTTTAATGTTTTGTTTTGTAAATGTCACAAAATGTATAGCTTAAACAACGATTGACAACAAATAAAAAAAGAAAATGAAAGTGTTAAATCAACGTTGGCTGTTAAGCTCATGCTCAGACTATCCTATCGATATTCTAGATAGTGAATACACCCCAAAAGAGTAACGTTATATCCATCTTGTTATTGTTTTTCTATAAAAACATATAATTTAACGTTACTAAGCGAATAACGATAGTTGCTAACGACCGTTAAAAGTAGCATGCGAGATTATGAGAATCAAAATAATTATAATAAAGATCAAGTACAGAAAATAGTCATGTACAAAGACATATTTCGTGACTTTTGTTTCATTCTTGACGGGTAAGTTAAGCCCAGAATGTAAACACACAAACATTAACTAAAGTCATTTGGGTTGAGCTTTAACTTAGCATCGGCAGTTACCTTACACATTATTGTTATTTTTAATCGGAAAGGAAATATAAAAGTTTCTCGTTTTCTATTACTGACTCGCTAACGTTATATCCGCTTTAGATGATAACCTACGTACTGCATGTCAATCGCTTTCGGTTTTTAATGCACATTAAGTGGGGTAGAAATTCAAACCTGTCTTCGATGTCTGTCTTGTGCTCATTCTAGTTGTTTTAGCTCCATCTTTTTTGGAATCACCGGAGTCCATTCCTGTAATATCGCACTACTTCTCAACAAACCTCTTAGTTTTGCTGTGCAGTTGAACCCGGAAAACAGAACATTAACGATGGTCTTCGTCGGAGCGACTTCGTTGGAGCACAACTCTCCCGGAAATAGTTCACAATAGCTGTCGGTTTCACTTCTGTAAATACGTTACTACCTTATCAAGCGTTTACTCGTCTGGTGTGTCTCCTGATTTACCATTTGAATCACGTAAACAAAATCCGAATAGACAAAGTAATTTATTAAGGCACATTAACTTTGTCTAAAGCAGGAAAAGCTAGGCATCAAATATCTGTTCATTTATCCGTTTCATTTACAGATTAAAAATAACTTTAAAACAATTTAAACAATAACAGATGTACAAGGAAATATAGTACAGCTATACAAATGGGAAAACTTCATTAAAGTCTTCTATTGAAGCTAATTTATAATTAAACTGAAATGTTTTTAAGTGAGGCCCATCATCCACAGAGTTACCAGACAACCATAGACCTTTATTTTCAGCGGCAATGCTTGAGTCTGGTCTGAAGTATTAATTTGTGCAAAAAATAAAAATCTAGCTGATTTCAGAAAGGTTTATCACAGGCTCCACAGCCCTGTTGCTCAATTCTCTTTTCTGCGACCACCGGCAAGATGAGATGTGAAATTCTGCTCCACAGTCCGCTCAGTTTGTCCACATCCATTTGATTAAACACCGCTGACTTGTCAGAGGAGACAAACTTCTGTTTTACATGATCTTGAACCATTTCCTCGATTCTTCCAAGATTGATATTGGATAGCACTTCCGCTTCAGCATCGAGCATTACAGTAAAAGCCAGGAAGACATTTTTATAAGCAGCATTTTCATGGTCACAGTAGCGGTAGAAGATGAGCGTGGATCCAGGAGGAAGCTCCTCGAAACGGTGGATAACTGCTGCAAACTTTTCACTCTCAAACGCTTTAGTTAACTCACTGTCGATGTCCAGCTTGACCTGATCGCTGTCTAGTGATGTTTTGGCTTTTCCGTCAATGCTCAAAAATGTAGAGTTTCGTGTAGTGGAAAAAGCTTGAGCTAAACACTGAGCCAGACAACCAAGCGTCTTTTCGGCTCTATGGCCAGAGGTCAGAATAAGGCTGACGGGTTCAGTGGGATGCTCAGTCTTTAAGTGGCGTCTGATGTGTATAAGACTTCTCTTCCAGAGCTCTGGACGCTGACTAGGGAAGCTGGCCTGAAGTTTTTCCATTTCCTGATTGAACACTTCCACCATATCAAGCTGTTTTGGTATTTTGTTTGGTGTCGAGCCAGAAAAGTGCAGATAATAACCACAAACCACAGATACAAGGACGACAACAATTCCAATCCATGGCAGATCTGTAAGAAGGGAAGATATTAAATTACTGTCTCTGCAAAGTCATCCAATAGTCATTATAATTCTTGGGAAAGAAACAAAGAACCACTCACTATTATCCGTTCCTTCTCTGATCTGTGGTGGTCTTTGTTGTGGAAGTCCAGAATAGGGGGAGTGTTGAGGTAATTCTGGTGTATAAAACACAGACAGGTTTTATATAAATGTAAGAACACTCCTTTTAAAACTGCAAACAATATTTACTGGAATTTTATGGACGTTTATTTTTATTATTACTAATATTATTACTATTACTACTACTCTTACTACTACTACTACTAATACTTATAATAATATTACTAATACTGTGATCTCATCCTGCAAATAAAGAATGAAATAAAGTGCAATAATTTGCAAAAATTATTCCAAGATGAAATACCTTCTTCTTTCATCTCAGGCTTCCTGTCACTCCCTTCATCTGTTGTTGTCAGAGTTTCAGATTTAGAGTAAGGCTGTTTTTTGATATGAGGACCACTGGAAATCGGTTTCCTCGTCTCTGTGTGTCAGATAAGGGGAAACATATAAAGTGTTGTGAGCAATAATAGCCCCTCAAAGCATTACAACAAACATAATCCAAAAAGATATCAGAAACGTGACACCCTTAATTTACCTTTGAGACTGAGATCTCCCTCTTATTGGTCATGGGCATGAAAGTATAAAATGACACATTTATGTCATCCAGAATGACAAATATTAGCATATAAAGTGTCTTTAGTTAAATTCACGTTGTCTATAATATTACAAAAAATAATCACTAGACAAACTGTAAATATAGAGTAGTGATCGTTATTTTAATTGGAATAGCTGTTGAATCTATTTGTTTTTTCAACCCAAATCCAACCACATAACTCAACCTCACATTCTACCTTACTCAAATACAAAAATAAATATCAAAAAGAGGAAATGCATGCTGTAATCGCATGCTATATATAGTAAACTTATTTTCATCTGCTTTTTCTTAAAATTTAGTAAAAAAAAAGATAAAAAAAAAACTTTAGACATACCATCATGTACATTAACTTGTCGAGAATCACCAGATGAACTAACACCTGTAAAAATAAGAGTAGAAGAGCATGGTCAGATATTTGGATTCTTAACCGACTGCTTATAAATGACAGTAGATGCAATAATCAGGCTTATTCTTAAAGAAAAAAACTCTCTTACCAGATTTACTGGGACTCTTTTTGTTCACTTGTTTCTCAGTTTTAGTTTCCGTCTGAGAAGCAATAGGAATCAGTTTTGTTGTCTCTGTGTGTCAGACAATAAAATGAATAAAGTGCTGTGTGCAACAACCAAGCATCATTGTCATTATAAAGCAAAAATATGTTTATGTCTTGCAGCATGACAAACATAAGCCCATTAAAAAACAAGCTAAATTTCACTAGTCAAAAGAAAAAAAACATTAAACAAGCCTGTAATTAAAATAAGAGTATTGGCAGTTCTTTATTTTCATAACTAAACTACACAATCTGCCTTATTCAAAGAAAAATTAATAAATAAAAACAAAGAAATGCTATAATTTTCCTTATTCTAGGAGAAAATACCTTCTTTAGGACAAGTGACGTTCTTTTCACCAGAATCAGCAGATGAACCAACACCTGTAAAAATAACAATAAAAGAGCAGGTTTAGCTACTTTCTTGAGAGTTGCTATTAAATCTCACTACTTTCTGATTCTTAACCGGATCGCTCTGCTTATAAATGACAGAATATGCCTTATTCTAAGAGAAAAATTAAAAGTGAGACAAAGAAAAAATAAAAAGTGCGCTGTCATTAACGGAGCATAAACAACATTAAAAATCGCATCAAAAACCAATAAATCTGTAATAGTCATTAAACTAAACACAATGTTTTTTCCCTAACCCTAATCCACATTTATAGAATCACTAGATTGGGTATCATCTGTAAAATGTACAACAAACTTCAGTTTGCAAACCCAATCGTTTAAGGATGACAATGCAAAAGAAAAGCCTGAAAAATACAAAATACCTCCACTGGAATTGTCAAATTGAGCCCCCACTGACTGTGAATCTGTAAATTTTCAAAATGTACAAATGACTTCTTCTGCCACATATATCAAAATTATAATACAATCATTATGACACACTTATAAATGTACAAAACCAACTTAAGGAAAGTACAATGAAGTTTACAAAAGGGAAATGAATAATATGAACTACTGCGATTACATTCTGCAAATAGACGTTACCATGACATAGCAAATATAGAAAAGCAATCAAGTGCAATAATCTGCTTTATTCCAAGAGGAAATACCTTTTTCTTTAATATCAGGTTCACGGTCTTTCCCTTCATCTGCTGTTTTCAGAGTGTTAGGTTTAGTGGAAGACAGTTTTTCGGTATGAGAGCCACTGGAAATCGGTTTCGGCATGTCTGTGTGTCAGATGAGGGAAAAAATATAAAGTGTTGTGAGCAATAATAACCCCTCAAAGCATTACAACAAACATAATCCAAAAAGAGAGGGATTGGTGGTATTTCCTGTGTCAGACAAAGAACAAAGAAAAAGTGCTGTGCCATTAACGAAGCATAAACAGCATTAAAAACAGCAACAAAAACCTACAAATCTCTAATGGTCATTACATTTTTCTCCTCATTTAAAGATCATTATTACAAGAATTAATTCAGTTTGAAGTAGAAAAGTATGGTCACAACCTCTTATAAATGGACCTACCATCTACTTCTGTATCCACACATGTAAAATCACTAGATTGAGTATCAACTGTAAAATGTACAACAAACTTCAGATTACAAACCCAATCATAATAAGGTGTTGTGTTCAACAAAAGAACCTCAAAGCATTACAACAAACATAATCCAAAAAGATATCAGAAACTTGACACCCTTAATTTACCTTTGAGACTGAGATCTCCCTCTTATTGGTCATGGGCATGAAAGTATAAAATGACACATTTTTGTCATCCAGAATGACAAATATTAGCATATAAAGTGTCTTTAGTTAAATTCACGTTGTCTATAATATTACAAAAAAATAATCACTAGACAAACTATAAATATAGAGTAGTGATCGTTATTTTAATTGGAATAGCTGTTGAATCTATTTGTTTTTTCAACCCAAATCCAACCACATAACTCAACCTCACATTCTACCTTACTCAAATACAAAAATAAATATCAAAAAGAGGAAATGCATGCTGTATTTAATGACCTTATTTTTATCTGCTTTTTCTTAAAATTTAGTTAAAAAAAAGATAAAAAAAAAACTTTAGACATACCATCATGTACAGATGAACTAACACCTGTAAAAATAAGAGTAGAAGAGCACGAAGCATAAACAGCATTAAAAACAGCAACAAAAACCTACAAATCTCTAATGGTCATTACATTTTTCTCCTCATTTAAAGATCATTATTACAAGAATTAATTCAGTTTGAAGTAGAAAAGTATGGTCACAACCTCTTATAAATGGACCTACCATCTACTTCTGTATCCACACATGTAGAATCACTAGATTGAGTATCAACTGTAAAATGTACAACAAACTTCAGATTACAAACCCAATCATAATAAGGTTTTGTGTTCAACAAAAGACCCTCAAAGCATTACAACAAACATAATCCAAAAAGATATCAGAAATGTGACACCCATAATGCACCTTTGAGCTTAAATGAATGAAATTCAGTTTTAAAATGACACGATCATGTCATCCAGCATAAAATACATTAGCCCATCAAAACAATAAAAAGCCAAATTTCTGTCATCTATAGCAGTCGTTTCCAAAGTGGGGATCAGGGGACAATGAAGGGGGTTCACAGTTTATTTTATTAAGCTATTAGAACTACCATATTTTATGCACAACCTACTGAAGAACAAAATAGAAGTTAATAGTAACATTGTTAATATGTTAATAATAAACATTTTAAAAAAACAACAACATGCAAATAAAAAGCCATCAGTCTTCCGATTTTTTGTGACCCCTTTGGTGATTATGTTATATTAAAGACAAAATAGCATCAGATACAGCACACTGATTTTATGGCACCTGGTTAAACTTTGACACCTTTACAGCACTCACGTTGAAGGATTCGGATTTATACCTTCCAATCCATCTCAGCATGAATCAAAGTTTATCCTTTCCTCATCGTCTTGTTTCTCATTGTTTTTATCAAATATAATTATTTGATTATTTGAGTATTTAACTTTGAATTGATTTTAACTAATGAATAAGTTAACACATTGCTTAATATAACAATGTTCAGAGCATTCACCTGTCTCTGTGTAACTTTTTCAGGAGCCAGCAAACTAGGCTGAGGACTGGAATCAGGTGTTTTTATTGTTATTTCTATGAGTTAATCCTATCTAAAATGTCTAAAGTGATTTAGCCATTTTTACAATTAATTCTTTTAAGCGTTTCTATTTTTTATTCAAAATAGACTTTGTGTAGTAAGGACCTTGTGTGCGTGAGAGACATTGGTGGTCTTCCCTGTGTGTCTGACTACAAAAAAGGAAAGTGCTGTGTCATTAACGGAGCATAAACGGCATTAAAAATCATAACAAAACCACAAATCTGTAATATTCGTTAAATTAAACAAGAAATGTTTAATTTATGTGACAAACAAACGTTTTCCTTTGATTTTTTTGTTACATTACCAACGATGAGTTTACAGTTAAACCAAAATGTTTTAAGACACCAGACTTAAGTATTTATATTGTTTAACTAGTAGGTGCAGGACAGTCTTGTTCACATGTGTATGTAAAGAAAGGAAAAAAAGAAAGGAAATCTGTGAAATATTATACCCTAGAAATGTTCATAAATGGGATTAAAAAAACAAAAGCAAGTGAAGAAGCTGCTGCAGTGAGTCTGGAAATATATTAAAGTTCAGGTTTGCCTGTGTACAGGCTGAATTGATCCTTGAGTAAATATCGTCATCCCAACAGTAGTCTGAGTAATATGTGGTTGATTATAAACCATTCCATATTGCACCTTTCGATCAATGTGATCTGACATTTTCAGGATGAATCAGGTGAAACAGTTTACCACTAATTATTGCCCTATTTTAGTTCTGTTTTCTAAACCATAGTGCATATACCAAAGTGATAATGTGAAAAATACTGAAGGTGTGTGAATAAATTTTGCTTTAAGTGTATACTTCACACTGTTAGTGATTTCCTACACTCTTGCTCAGAGATCACTAAAACTTCGACCTCACATCATAAATTTTCTTCATAAATTTTTGTTAAGTGACAAAAAAATGGAATGTATTTATCATTATGTGCATTCTCTGTAACTCATCAACAATGGGATGTGCTACTAGAAAAATACCAACCGATCTGATCTTGCTCGTTTTGTTGAAATCCAGAAGAGCAGGTTTGTTGTGTTGGCATCAAATCTACAAAACAGACAACAGCTTTTACAGCTATAAATGAAACAACACTTCTAATTGGAACTGATCTCATCTAGAAATTAAATTCTGATATGCACCAAGAAGATTTAATGGCATACTTCATGTGAAATAGCTTTTTCTCAACAAAAAAAAAAATCAAAACAAACAACTAATATTGCACAAAATAACAAATAATCCTTGACATTTGACTCCTTGCATTCTTTGATTTCCTCGTTTAAGGATGAATTACTGAATTACTTTCATTTGAAAAAGAAAAAATGGTCACAACCTCTTACAAACCAGACCTACCATCTTTATCTGTATGCACATGTTCAGTATCCCCAGATTGGCCATCATCTGTAAAATGTACAACAAACTTCTCATTTCAAACCCAATTGTTTATAGATGACAACACATAAGAAAAGCAGGAAAAATACAAAGTACCTCCTTTTTTCTTCACTCTGTCTACCCCCGTATTCCCAGACGAATCACCACTGGAATTTTCAAATTGAGCCCCCGCTGACTGGAAATCTGCAATTTTGAAAATGAATGACTTCTTCTGCCACATGTATCATGATAGAGTATATACAGGAATCAGAAAGTGAAAATCAATACCTTCTAAGACCTTTTTTAAGATTCTTTCCACACATTTTAAGATCTTATAACCACTTGAGATTTCAACTGGAAACACTGGCGAGATTTTAGCTTACAGTATATTTACTAAATATTAATGTAAAAAACTAATCCAAAACTAAACCATTATTCATATACTGAATAAAAATCTATTAAACCTAGCTAATTCAGCAGGCTGGCATTTATAGAGCTGCAGAAATTATGGTGTTGCCTCGGTTACTGCAGTAAACAAAGCAGCATGATGTCAAATCTAGTAGGATTTCATTGATTTCTTAAACTACACAGCATCCTGATATTCACAGATTAAATTCAGGAAAACTTTTGCATACACCCATACATTGCATAATCAAAAATGATAAACAATTCAATAGCTTGCAAAACAGCATTTAAGACTTTTTAATACTTTTCAAGGGCCTTAAACTTTTCTACATTGATTTATCAACTTTTAATACTTTTCAAGACTCTGCGGACACCCTGCATAATCATAATATTATGATAGGTATGCCTTACATATTAATGTACAAAACAAACTTCAGGAAAGTAGGATGAAAACTGCCTAAAACTCTAATCTGCAGGCATTAAATATTGCAGGATAACAATGCTACTTTTATCTCAACAATTTAACCTATTATACAAAGCATGTTTGCAAACATAATTTTTCTAGAACTACCTTTAACTTGAGCGTCCTGGTCTGTGCTGTCTGTGCAGGTCTCTGTCTCATTATTTTTGTCTCTTGTTTCAGCCTCTTTGTTCTTCGCATTGTTGATGTCTGAAAGAGAATGTTAAGGTCATATCTTTATTATATATATATATATATATATATATATATATATATATATATATATATATATATATATATATATATATATATATATATATATATGTAGTATTTTAAAAATTTACAATATACAATCTTACTGCAGTGTTACTACAGTGTTATATAGTATTTCTAAATATACACATTGAAGCATTAAAACAGACAGTTAATTTGCTTGTATTACTTTTTAATAAACTTTGCTAAAATTAAACTTTGATAAAATAAAACTTCAAAATATGGGTGAAATAATATTGCATCACTCAGCGTAATAGTTTTATTTATGCACAAAATAAACAACATACTTATTCTAACTTGTACGCTTTATATTATGTAAAAGAATTAGTGATCAGTCTACATTAAAATAAATTAAAACCATAAATAAAACTGTATTATAAATTATTAAACACTTTTTGCTGGAAAATAGGTCAAATCTACTGGTTTGAAGAATGGAGACAAGAGTTAATGGCATTTAATTAAAAGACTTTTAATGTCATGTTAAAATGAATCTTGTTAATCATTTTTAATCTTATTTTTGTTTTAATAAATTTGTTCCATTTTTTTTTTTTTGTTATTTTTAAGTCTCCATGTATTAGCTTTGTTTGTTTAAACTAAGATTTAGAAATCCTTATGGCATTATTTTTTGTCTTTTGATAAGTGAGAAAAACTCATGAATGTAGCTGATATGAACACTCTAAAAATCATTTCCCTCTGCTCTGTGTGCCAGACAAGGACATTTTATATTGTGTCATGCACATCCCCATAAACCATTTTAACAAACATTATTTGATCTCATGAAGATCATAAAAACAAATATGACTTCACGCTGTACTTTATATTTTAAAAAGAAGTTTAGTTTTTTAAACAGACCAATTCACAGACTTAGCCTGGTGCCGCAGTGGGTAACACAATTGCCTCACAGCAAGAAGGTTGCTGGTTCGAGCCCCAGCTGGGTCAGTGGTGTTTGTGTGTGGAGTTTGCATGTTCTCCCCGTGTTCGCATGGGTTTCGTCCGTGTTTTCCGGTTTCCCCCACAATCCAAAAACATGTGGTACAGGTGAACTGGATAAGCTAAATTGGCCGTAGTGTATGTGAGTGTGTGCAAGAAAGTGGGGGTGTTTCCCAGTGTTGGGTTGCAGCTGGAAGGGCATCGGCTGTGTTAAACATGTGCTGGATAAGTTGGCGGTTCATTCTGCTGTGGTGACCCCTGATTAATAAAGGTACTAAGCTGAAAAGAAAATGAATGAATGAATTGACAGACTTGAGTACGCCTCTATTTATTGTTATGTTGACTCTCCTGTTGTTTTCCGGCACATTGGTTTAGCTAGAAATCTACTCCTCAATAAAGCTTGCATAGACATATCACATTTATTTCTCTATTCTATTTTTTTTTTTTTTTTTTTGCAGAGATGAGTTTGTTAATATATATTTCATCTGTTGTATGAAACATTAATGTTTTTCTTCTTCTGACAGTACTGACAAAATAACAACGATAAAAAGTGATTCATCCCAATTTTAAAACCATGAATAGTAGTAAGTCCCCCAAATGAAACAATAATAATATTATTGTTAAACAACTTTTATTTTTATACACAAATTATATAATGTTAAGTTACTTACTGCTGCTGTCGCTGTCGCTTTCGCTTGTCTTATCTGTTGGATAACTCGCCATCGTTGTAGCAGGACACTTGTGATAGACCTGAATGTTGAAACAGCACATTACCCCAAGTTGTAAATACAAACGACCCACAAAAACGAAACTACAGTCCAGTTAAGAAAGATAAACATACAACCTGGAATAAGGTTACTGAAGAAAATACAGTGAGAAAAAATAACACGTAAAACACACTGACACCCGTCCCTCTTGTCTGAAAAACTAACTAACCGGTTATCATGCAGTCGCCGTTTATTAGATAGTATTTCGGATTTTGCCCTACCAGACTCTTTCTCACGCAACACAACGACGCCACTCGTTATTCTTCCGGGTATGGCTGGAACCTCTTTGACTTGGTATTTTTTTTCTCTCGGACGGTTTTAGAAGAGGGACTTCATGTGCGCATACGCTGAGCCGCAAATATATACATTTTAAAAGATTATTAGCATTGTTTGGACTGACACACATACAAACTAAATGTATCTTACGAGACATCGATTACTACCAAAGTCATGTTATTCAAACCAACGATTTTAGTGAACGGTTGCGTATTCCTCATAACAACCCATATAGCAAAACATCTTTGACCCTGATCTGCCCCACACAATCAGCTTTTGCTTGGGCCACATGTCGCCGTGAATTACGGTACATGACTGGACCAGGTCTGGCTAAGGGCCAAACATATCTGGGCCAAGTCTCAGCCAAGTTAATAACTTTGCCTGAAGTGGGCCAGACATGTTGGTGTTACACGACTGCAATGAAATTAATAAACCCAGGAATCATTTAGGTGTGCTACGAGCGTGCTTTTTCTCAACGCGAACTGATTGGTAGAATTTTTTTTTCTTTATTTGAAAATAATAATAAAAAAACTTATATTAAAAGTGGGTCAAAATCGGCAAACTTACATGGCCTATATATCAATTAACACCCGGCCCAAATTTTGTGTGCCACCTTAACCATGGTGCCACCTCTGCTGTATGCCGGTGTCGGATGAATGCCTGCTGTGCCAGATTTTTGCCAAATCTGGGCCAGAATTCTTTGCTACCTGGGAATCAAGCCCCTACAGTAAACAAACCCTGCAGGAATCCTGTAGGATTTTTGGCTCTATGCAGAAATCCTGTATGACTCCTGCAGGATAGTATCACACAATTTTTATGTTGCTAGCATTTGTAGGATTTTTGTAAACATGTCCACTGATTGTGCAACATCCTACAGAAATGATAAGACTCCTGTGGGATGTAACATTCATGGTTTTGCTGGTATGTTAATGTTTATTTCTGACAAGTCAAAGGATAATTATACACCAGCAGTCGATTGGGGCATATTCTGTAAAATATTTAACCATTCAACTGGTCTAAATACATCCTATCTGCAATTTTGTTGTAGCCTACACATAAGAAGCCCATAAAGATCCCATTTATCATTGTACGTAATAGAACATACAGCTAAATATCATTGCAGAAGCAGCCATCAATTACTACCTCCCAAGGTGAACAAATATATTTAGTGTCCAGCTGTAAATATTTAGGCATTTAACTAGATCATGAGATTTCCTTCAAAGCATAAAGCAAATTTGGTTTGCAAACTGAGAGTTAGGCTTGAGTTTTACCATTGAAATTGATCCTGCTTTTCTCTTAAAGCTCATAAACATTTGGTGACTGCAACATTTTTACCATTGCTGGACTATGGTTATATTTGAATGCCTTAACCAGATGTCTTCAGCCTTTACACTCTGTTTATCATAGCTCTCTCAGGTTTGTTACAGGATGTTGTAGTGTCTCACCACTGTGAACTGTATGCCAAAGCTGAGTGGCCTTCTCATGTAAGTAACACCCACTGATGAATGTTGTCTACAAGGCTTTTCTTGGTCTGGTGCCTTTATACCTATGTTCCCTTCTTACATCAAAAAGCCACCATGCCCTACGTTTAAGTGAAATTTTTCCCCTCATCCTGGAATACTCTTCAGTCTGAACTGAAAATGTCTGAGCTCATCTAGATAACATCATTTCGCTCTATCATTTATAACAAACAACACATAGTTTTAAAATAGTTTTACATTATCGCAGTGTGCACAGTTAAGAATAAATTAATCCAAAGCAAATTGTGTAAAAGTCCCAAATCAGGGAACATCCTAGAGATCCTACAGGGAACATGTAGGAATCCTGCAGGAGTCCTACAGGAAAATGATCACAAAATGCAATGGGATCCTGTCCTGTAAGAATGTGTAGATATGTGGTGTGTGGGATCCTGGAGTTTTTCTTAAGGATTTCAGCAGGATTTATTGTAAGGGGGTCTTCATACATGTATCTCTCTGTACACACAATTCTTCCTAGATAAATGCTATATAGATTTCCCAAATCATGTTCAGTAAATTGACCTTGAGGTTGACGATGATTCATAGAAAATGAAATGCTTTTCTGAGCTACATGATCACTATAATTATTTCAGTTTCTTTATTTTTACATTTACATTTTTGATAGGAAGGAATGTTTTTTTAAAGGTTTATTTTAATTAATATAATTTTACCATTTATTTTTATTTCTCTTACTTCAAAACCACTTTCTCAGTGTCAGAAATAAACAACAAATAAATTCTATAAAATGGCATCAATATATAGACCAGTGTGAATTGTCAAATTTACACATCCAATTTCAAAAGCCTACATTATGCAAATATGTAACCGCAATGTAGTAGAATTTTTATTTCAACTAGTTTAAATATTTAGCCGAGAAACAATCCAAAGCATCTAATGCAGGGGTCACCAATCTCGGTCCTGGAGGGCCGGTGTCCCTGCAGGATTTAGCTCCAACTTGCCTCAACACACCTGCCTGGGTGTTCCAAGTATACCTAGTAAGAGCTTGATTAGCTTGTTCAGGTGTGTTTGATTAGGGTTGGATCTAAAATCTGCAGGACACCGGCCCTCCAGGAACAAGTTTGATGACCCCTGATCTAATGTATTCCTGTTTTCACACCAGTTCCTATCATTGTCTAATGACAAACAACAGGAACCTGTAAAACCAGAGACATGTTACATCAATCCAGTTTAAAAAGGGGAAAAATGTCAGTTATTAATCCTGAAAGCCTTTATTATTTAAATCTGAAACTTGTAAATCACCAGTATAATATAAATTCATCATGGTGCAGTGGTGAAAAATCAAGTCCTGGAATGTAATATATTTGTGCTTCTAAAATAGAAACATATCCAGATACACTTACTTTTGACAAAAACTATTAGTACTTCAAAAATTTACACTATTTTTTTAAACTTGCTAAACAATTAGCAGATAACTCTCGTCTAGTGCTCTCACATGTTGAGGGGTACTATTGTGACAACAGCTTAAAACAGGCTTTCCACATCTCCCATTTCCACCACAACAGTCTTGAGCTGAGAGTAATACTCAATGGTCACTGCGCCATTCTCCTTCCCAAAACCTAAAAGAAAAGAAGAAGATAACAATACATTCGGTCTCTCCAGTATTAGCCAACAGATTTGGCAGAACAGAACACAGTTCATGCTTGGAGCTCTTCTAATGAGACAGTGTTAAATAAGATACTCAAGATTGAAACAACACGGGTATAAATACCTCAATCAGAATTAAAATGATCAAACCAAATTAAACTATAATCAGTTTGAGACTGGTGAGATAAACCTTTCTATAAACCGAATAAAACAAAATTATTCCATGTAAATGCTTTGAACTAATTACTCTGCTTCTACGGCACGATTTTCCACAACAAGGTATTCCCCACAGCTCAAAATAGTACGTACACAGCTGTTCGTGACTGTGATGAATATTGTAAATATGGGTCACTTAATACGTGCAAAGTGAGCCGCATGGTTTTACTTACTCAACAGCTATCCTTTCAAAAGAACGTATCAGGCTCTACAACTCATACAGCCTCCAAAAACTCATCATTGTCTTATAGCCAATAGTACCTTCCAGCAGTAGTTTGCTTACAAATTAATGCTGTTTCTTGATTAAGAGCAACCATTTAAAAAGAATCTGAATCAAAGTGGTGCATGTAAACATCAGAATAGATAATATCTCATGCCTCAACACACCATCAAATCTTTCAACTGGATTTTAATCAGAATTAAAAAAAGGTGAATGTGTAGTAAAGATAAATGTGCATATGTTTGGAGTACCTGACATCTTGTAGCCCCCAAAAGGAACTTCCACAGGACAAACATTGTAATTGTTGATGTAGCACATTCCTGCTTGAAGGTTTGCAATGACTCTGTGGGCACGTGCAATATCCCTAAAATCAAAGCACAGGGAAATGTTTAAGTGCCCCAATTATGCAATTTTAAAGGTTCAGTGAAAATTGTGATTCTTCTAGTGCTTTGATGAAGGATTCGGATTTCTGCTTTCCAATCCGTCTCATCGTGGACCAACGTTTATCCTTCTCATCATCCTGTTTCTCAGTATTTAACTGTGAATTGATTTTAATTAATGAATAAGTTAACACATTGCTTAATATAAGAATGTTCAGTGCATTTGCCAGTCTCTTTATAACTATTTTCAGGAGCCAGCAAACTAGGTCAGAGGTCATGGAGACCTTGAGTGGAACTGAGGGCTGAGGACTGGAAACAACTGTTTCTATTCTTAATTCTATGAGTTAATACTATCTAAAATGTCTAAAAGTGATTTTACTGTTTTTATGGTTAATTATTTTAAAGTGATTCTACTTTTTATTCAAGATAGACTTTGTGTAGTAAGGATATTATAACTGCCTGAATGTAGATGATACCGGTTTTTAACCAGTTTTGATAAAGATGGCTGAGAGTACACTCAGCCTTGGATAAGAAACAGATTATACTTTAAGTGTGTGTGTTTTATTTGATTGTTGATCCGTTTCACAGGTCTGGAGTCAGCTCTAATCAGTCTAAGGGATGTCTGACGTTTATGTTTAGATATTGTTCAGAATTGTACGCACGAACCCCACGTGGAAATTTTCCTAGCCTATCTGTGTTTTAACCAATCGGGCTAGAGCACCTATATGTATGACGCAGTTAATGGCGTTATGTGAGAGTATAATTGTTA